GATAAGTATGTCATTTATATATTAAAAAAATATAAATGTAAATAATAGTTAACTATAGATAGTATATTTATATAATAGTAGTAGTAGATATTATTATTTTGATAAAATATTGACTTTCTTTTTTTTTATAATGTTTATATATATTGTATAATCAAAGTTTTAATTGTAACTTTAGTCTCATACGCAAGTATAAGTTTATAAATTTTTTGACTCATTAAAGCTCGTGAATAGGTTCGAGCTAGAATCAAGCCTAAGCCAACTCGGCTCAAGTTCGGTTCGTTAAATTTTTATTGAGCTCAAGATCGAGTTCGTTAAAATCTTAATAAATAAATCCAAATATATTAAAACTCAACTCGGCTCAACTCGTTTGCAACCCTATTTACAAACTTAGAGCTGTCATTAGTAAGACCTTATAAAAGCTTACCAAAAGGTTATTTAATTTGTGTTCTTTTTAATTTTTTAAAATTTACAATCATCAAGTTTAACTTTTGAATTTTTAAAATTTAGGCAATAGTTTTGGTAAAATTGTAACCAAGTAGGATTTGTTTTAAAAAGTTAAGAAATAGCTGTTTTTATTTATGTATTTATTTATATAAAAAAAATGTACACCTATAAAGAAAGTAGTGTTAGTTATTTTCCAAAGTGATTTTGGTTATAATTTGGACATTGAGCCATATTGGTCTTTTTGTTATGTTGCATAGTGATGTTGGTTATGAGATGGTAGTGTTAGATATGTATCAAAATAGTCGTCGTTGTGGTTGTGGTCTTGGTTTTTGATCAAAACTTTATCATTACTTTGGATCATATAACTTTGTTATTGGTTATGTACTAAGTAAACAGTGTTAGTTATGCCTTAAAGTGATGTGATTACGATTGTGTTGCTATCTTTCAAATTGGTCAAAATTATAAAGGAAATTGTGTGAATTATATTTCAAAATAGTTTGAGTTATAACTTGCTTATGACTTTTATTAATATTATTTTTATCAACAAAAATAAAATTTTATTAATGAATATCAAAGGTACCTGGAATAAAAACAAATGAGCCATACTTCATATAAATTTTTATGAGGTAGTACAATCTTTAGTCACGCATCTAGTGCATACTATACATCTATTGTAAATTTGTCCTTCAAATAATACTTTCAGTAGTGATTTATTCTCTAAATTAGAACTCTAATTGAACTCTACTAATGTAATATTGTTGGCTTTTTTGGCTTTCGAAGGTTATTTCCGTAATTATGAGCGTGCCAGCAAGGATCAATCAGTCCTTACAGAATTGTAATTGCCAAACAATTATTCAGACGAATGTGTTATGGTTCTTTCGGCCTCAATAAAGAGGACTTTTACTGGTGGCTTACTGGTAATTTGACTTCAGAAAACTTGAACATAAGAACAAATATAATCACACTTTGTTTAAAAAGTGTGATTAAAAAGTAGTAGTGTATATATAATCACACTTTTAATTAGAAGGTGTGATTAAAAAATATATATATAATCACACTTTGTTTAAAAAGTGTGATTAAAAAGTAGTAGTGTATATATAATCACACTTTTAATTAGAAGGTGTGATTAAAAAATATATATATAATCACACTTTGTTTAAAAAGTGTGATTAAAAAGTAGTAGTGTATATATAATCACACTTTTAATTAGAAGGTGTGATTAAAAAATATATATATAATCACACTTTGTTTAAAAAGTGTGATTAAAAAGTAGTAGTGTATATATAATCACACTTTTAATTAGAAGGTGTGATTAAAAAATATATATATAATCACACTTTGTTTAAAAAGTGTGATTAAAAAGTAGTAGTGTATATATAATCACACTTTTAATTAGAAGGTGTGATTAAAAAATATATATATAATCACACTTTGTTTAAAAAGTGTGATTAAAAAGTAGTAGTGTATATATAATCACACTTTTAATTAGAAGGTGTGATTAAAAAATATATATATAATCACACTTAATTGAAAAGTGACATAAAAAATAAATATTATCACACTTAATCAAATTAAGTGTGATTAAAATATCAATATAATTTTTTTTATCACACTTCCAATAAAAGTGAGATCTTTTTTTTTGTCAAAGTGTGATCTTTAACTATTTTTGTAGTAGTGCACTGATCTTGAAGACGTTTTGTGAAGTGAAGATGATCTGCGAAATCCATGAAGACGATCTCAAAGTCTGAAGATCTCACCGCCGACGATCTCACCCTTGGTCAACAATACACAATCTCGCCATCAAAGATCAACACTCTCAATTAAATGAGAGATTATGTTGCAAATCTGTATAAATCTGTTGTTATTTTTTATTTGTTTTTGTTGATTTGCCGAGTTCAATCAGGTGTGTGCTCTATTTTTGTTTGACATAATGAAAGTAAAATTTTACTATGGTTTGTGCTCTGTTTTTGTTTGACAGAATGAGAGTAAAATTTTACTCTGGTATGTGCTCTGTTTTTGTTTCATAAAATGAGAGTAAAATTTTACTCTGGTGTTATTTGTTATATTTTCTTAACATGCAAGTAAAATTTTACTTTGTTTCAGAGTAAAATTTTACTGCATTTCAGAGTAAAATTTACTTTGAATTGAAAGTAAAATTTTACTGTGTTGTTGAATGTTTATCTATGCAGTTTCTGATTTGTTTTCTGGTAAAATTTACTCTGAATCTTCAGAGTAAAATTTACTCTGAATCTTCAAGTAAAATTTTACTTTATTTTAGAGTAAAATTTTAATGTATTTCAGAGTAAAATTTACTCTGAATTGAAAGTAGCATTTTACTGTGTTGTTGAATGTTTGTCTGTGCAATTTCTTATTTGTTTTCTAGTAAATTTTACTGTATTTTAGATTCAAATTTACTCTGAATCTTAAAGTAAAATTTTACTGTGTTGTTGAATGTTTGTTTATGCATAAGAGAATAAATTTTATTTTTCATTAACCAGAGTAAAATTTTACTATTGCAAAAACAGAGTACATACTAGATAAATGAATTATAGTCGAATTTTACTTTAGATCTATAACAAACAAACAAAAAAAACTCTCAGATCAATTTATCATTTTTTTGACATATATGAGGTCATTTTATCTCAGATCTGAAATTATTAATCTCAAACATGAGTTCATAGGAATCAAATCTGAGATGGTGATGGATTTCAATGGACGATTTCAAAATTTGATTTTGTGAGATGGATAAAAAATGGAGATCAAAAGGGTTTAGGGTTTAGAAAGAGGGAAAATAAAGGGAAGAGAGAGAATACCAGTAATGTAGAGATAGAAAAGAAGAGAAAATGGTTCAGCGAGGGTTTTGGATTATATGGAAGGGCATTTCAGCATTTTCATCATATTTTTTTATTTGAGGGACTTTTGAAACTATTATTTTATTTGGTGGGTTTCACACAAAAAAGCCTCCATAGAAAGGGCTTTTCATCAAAAATCTCTTTTATTAATTGGGGCTGTCTTTCTTTTAGTCCGTGATCAGACTGAAGGGTATAATTGGGTTCGTGGGGATTCACCACGGGTTCCGTTGCGATAATCTGAACTGTTAATGTGTACAACTTATCGAGTATTATATGACTGTAAAAACTCACGTTGATCGGATATTGATAGATATCTGATCAAATTAGTTTTATAAAAAAAAATGGACGATGAAAAAATAAACGGTTGATAGAAATTTGATCCGATGAGATAGCTATTGATATCTGATCAACGTGATTTTTTACAGTCATATAATATTCGACGAGTTTTATACATTTAATGTTTCAGATTATCAAAACGGGATCTATGATGGGTCTCTACGGGTCAATAGTACTCCTTAGTCTGATCACGGACTGGAGAGAAACCCAACCCTTATTAATTTAACACGTTGCATCAACATAATGGTTTAGTGTACCAAACCTACTGAATAATTTCTCCTTACTCATCCCTCATTCACGCAAGTGATTTACTTTCAATTATTTATTGTTTCTTTTCTAAATGACTAATGTACGAAGAGTGGTCACCTTGAAATCATCATACATGACTTTTCAGTTAAGTAATTTGACACTGGTATTTTGTTGACTATGCGAGTATTGTATATACACACTAACAAGGAATACAAAACACATATTAATTTTTCCATATACTTTTTTTCATTTTGTAATTTTTCCTTATAATCATTATAGGTATACCTTTCTAAGAGAAGAAAATATAATGCTATGTACACATAAGAAAAAGATACAATGCATATAAAAAAAAATTAATGTGTGACCTATATCCGTTATGCTTGTGTTTCAATTTTGAATTTGAATAAATTTGGAAAAATAGAAAAAAATTATTACAGGCAGAACCAACCACACATGTAATCAATTTTGACCACACTTATAATGAATTTAAACCACACATTTTACTTTTCTTTACAATTTTTGTGCTAACTTTTTGCAAAAAAGAAATGTCTATGCTACATACACTGAAAAATATACCAAAAAAAAAAAGTGCACAAAAAATTAATTTGTGATCCATATTCATTACACAGTTTAAATGCCCAAAAAATCATATTAGAAATTTATTCAGATTGTAACTATGTGGTAGAGATTGAATTGGTGTGGGTCTATATATAGAATGAATCTCAACCTTTCATTGATATTTCTAGATAACTTCTAAGTATATTTTTTTGGGTTTGTAGTGTTTTTGCATTCATTATGAATATGGTGAGATGACATATAAAACGAATTTAACATTTATATTCATTTGTTGTGTGTCCAATTTGCAATCTTTTCCAAGTATTTGAAATTGACCGGCACATTTGGATGACTTCAGATTAGAGGACTTTTTTGTTTTTGTTTTTTTTTGTTTTGTCAAGATTAGAGCATGACTTTCATACAATTGTTATCAGATTGCAAGTCTTTCCAAGAATGCAAATATATATTGAATTGTTAAATTTGAGAATCTTTCTTCATGTATCAGATACACTAGAGCTGTGACTGCATTATTAAAAAAATTCATAGAATAATTTTGCAATCAATATGTTCAAGTTGTTGAGGGAACTTCGATCACTTGTCTCCAGCATTGCTATCATTGTGTGTGTGTGCATGTCTTTGTTGAATCAAGCTTCCCAAAAAACAGCCTTGGTTGCTGCCGCCACCACCACCACCATCACTACCGCCACACTTGGTGGAAATGGTACCGATTACTTAGCCTTGCTTTCCATCAAGGCTCAAATAACTAATGATCCAATGCTAGTCACAAGCTCATGGAATGATTCTCTCCATTTCTGCCTGTGGGAAGGTGTTTTATGTGGGCATCGCCATCAAAGGGTCACTGGCTTAAGCTTAGAGTCGCACTATTTAGAGGTTCTATATCTACTTCCATCGGAAACCTTAGTTTTCTTAGAATTGTTGATCTCTCAAACAACAACTTTCAAGGTGAAATTCCTCATGAAATGGGCAGCCTATTTAGGCTGCAAGTTCTAAACTTGACCCATAACTTGTTGGAAGGACAAATTCCAGCAAACCTCTCAAGCTGCAACAACTTGAGGAGGCTCAGTTTAGGCTACAACAAGTTCATAGGAAATCTTCCTATTGAGCTTGGTTCATTGAACCAATTGGTGCATCTTTATATGAACTCCAACAATTTGAGTGGAGCAATCCCACCTTCTTTTGGGAACCTTTCCTCTCTCAAACTTTTCTCCATATCAGAGAACATGTTGGAGGGAAGTATTCCAAACTCGCTAGGGAGCCTAAAAAGCTTGAGATATCTTTCATTCATCTCAAATAAAATATCAGGTATGATTCCTCCATCTATCTATAATATCTCATCATTGACAGCTTTGGAGGCACGAGTAAATCTACTTGAAGGAAGTCTTCCTCAAAATTTAGGCCTCACTTTGCCAAATATTAAAAGGCTTAATCTTGGGAAAAACCACTTAAGTGGATCAATTCCACTTTCAATAGCAAATGCTTCAAAACTTGAACACCTTATATTGTCGGCGAACAAACTTTATCCTAGAGTGGCTGTTAATTTTGGAAATTTAAAGAATCTCTTGTGGCTAAGTTTATTTGAGGATGGTTTGGGAACTGGGGATGCTAATGACCTTAATTTCATTCTAACTTTGGTCAACTGTAGCAAATTGAGGATATTGAGTTTAGACGCCAATAATTTTGGAGGTGTTTTGCCCAATTCTTTAGTGAACCTCTCAACCCAACATCATGTTGGAAAAAAATGGTTTTATATAGGCATATTTTTAACCCAATTTGGGTGGACCCCAAACGTGTTTTGGGGTGGGTTCGAAAAGGTGAAACCAGATATCTGGAAACATTCCAGTAGACTTTGGAAATCTTGTGAGCTTAAATGCTGTAGATATGAGCTATAATCGATTGACAGGAACTATTCCAACCTCTATCGGTAAACTTCATAAGATTCAAGAATTGGGTTTTGGTAAAAACAAATTGTCTGGGGAAATACCTTCCTCCATTGGAAATTGGACACTAGCGAACCAGCTTTGGTTAGAAGAAAATGATTTTCAGGGAAACATACCATCAAGTCTTGGAAATTGCATAGATTTGATACTATTGCATCTTTATGGTAACAATCTGTCTGGTAGCATACCTCGAGAAGTAATTGGTATCTCATCTTTATCAAAATCTCTGGACTTGTCTCGAAACTCTCTAACCGGTCCCATTCCTCCGGAAGTCGGTAGCTTGAAAACTCTCGTTGAACTAAATCTTTCTTATAACAAGTTATCTGGTAAAATTCCTAGCAGCCTTGGTAGTTGTAATACTTTGGAATACCTTTTTTTGGACAACAATTCATTAGGAGGAGCCATTCCACAATCTTTGAGTTCTCTAAAGGCCATTGAAGAATTAGGTCTCTCACACAATAACCTCTCAGGTGAAATTCCAATTTTTTTTGAAAAGTTTCCCTTTTTAAGGAATTTAAACCTTTCTTTCAATAATCTAGAGGGAGAGGTACCAGTAAAGGGAGTGTTCCAAAATGCAAGTGCAATTTCAATTTCAAGAAATAACAAGCTCTGTGGGGGTATACCTGTACTACAATTGCCAACATGTGCTCCTAAAAAACCAAGAAAGTTAATTATTCCCATAGTTTTTGGGGTTTTGGGTATTATTTTGGCATCATCTATTTTAATCCTTTGTTGCCTTAGAAAGATGAGAAAACAATCTCTGGTGGCATCTTCTTTGATGGATTCATCTGGGAATATCTCATACAGAGATCTCCTCAAAGCAACGAATGGGTTCTCTTCAGACAACTTGATTGGCACAGGAAGCTTTGGTTCAGTATACAAAGGAATTCTTCATCCAAATGAAAAGACTATTGCAGTGAAGGTACTCGACCAACAAAATGTAGGAGCTTCAAAAAGTTTTCTGGCTGAATGCAAAACTTTAAGAAACATTAAACATCGAAACCTCATCAAGATTATAAGTGTTTGTGCAAGTGTTGATTTTCAAGGTAATGACTTCAAAGCCCTTATATATGAGTTCATGGAAAATGGGAGCCTTGAAAGTTGGTTGCATCCAGTTTCACAAACAGGTACTACCCATAAGCAACCAAAAAGTTTAAACCTTCTTCAGCGATTAGGCATAGCAATTGATGTGGCTTCTGCTTTGGATTATCTTCACAACCATTGCCATGTCCCAATCATACATTGTGATATAAAGCCAAGCAACATTCTTCTTGACAGTGATATGACTGCCCATGTCGGTGATTTTGGTTTAGCAAGGCTTCTACAAAATCGCAACAATGAAGTTTCTCATAGCCAAAATAGCTCTGTTGGTATAAAAGGAACCATTGGATATGCAGCACCAGGTAATCTACAATAGGAGAAAATATTGTGTGACTGGTAAACTGAGGTGGTGTACAAGTCCTCCTAAAACCACCACCTCAGTGTACCAATTAGACAAATATTATCTCTATATATTTATATATTTGTGTATTTGTAGGTATAAATTAATGCTGTGTTAGTTTTGGTAGAATTTTTTTTTTTTTGGAATATATATATATATTTTGCATTTTTTCATGTTTGGTTCAATGAAAAATGAAAATCAATAGTAAATATTTTTTGTGGTTAATATAAACAAATTATGTAGACGGAAAAATTCTCAACGTTTGAAAGGTGGAAAACATTTTCTAGATGACGCCGCTACATTACTACCACCACCACTATTATAACCATGACCACCCCACCGCCATCGTTGGCTTACCACCACCACCATCAAACCACCACTATCAATACTAGAACCACCTATGAAGCACGGGTACAGGTATGAGTACTGATATTGGTACGATACGGGTACGTCGATACGGTAAAATTCAAAAAAAAAATAGAGTACGGGTACGACTTGGTACACTTGTAAAAAAATATTTATTTTTAATTTAGAGTAATGGAAAAATTAATTAAATGGTTTAATTTGTTAAGGTTTAACCTACAATTAACATTTAATGTCAAAAGTAAAGGTGTAAATCAAAATTAAATATCAATATATTAAATAACTTACAAACCAATAGTTTAATTTTAAATCATGCTAATATAAAATAAAGAATAAAAAAGAAATCTAGTGAAAGGAGTTTTATCTTTGTAGTAGAAGAAAATATTGTTTCAACTGAGGTACAGTACGACTTGAGGTATGTCTAGGTACGTCAAAAATTAAAAAGAAAAAACTTGGGTACGTGTTTTGTATACCTGGTATGTATGCAGAAGTACCATACAAAGTACCATATGCCAGTAAGTACCCGGTACGTGTACGACATGTTTTTCAAAGTACCCATGCTTCGTAGAGAACCACTAGTTCTAGCACATTACTTTGAAGGTCAATCAATCAAACTATTTTCCATGTAAAACATTTACCGTGGAAAATATTTTTCATCGAAATAAACAATGTATAAGAGTGAACATAAAATGTATTATGCGTGTATTGCAGAATATGGCACAGGGAGCATGGTGTCCACTGGTGGTGATGTATATAGCTATGGAATCCTCCTATTAGAATTGTTCACAGGAAAAAGACCCACTGATGGCATGTTTAAAGATGGCTTGACCCTTCACAAGTTAGCTAAGTTAGCTCTTCCAGAAAGAGTGATGGAGATTGTTGATGAGAAACTTGTATCAGTAGTAGAAGAGGAGGAAACAGCCAGCAAAAATTCTAGGAGAGAAATGGGAAGGGGAAAATTCCTTGAGTGCTTAATTTTGATACTTCGGATTGGAGTTGCGTGCTCTGTGGAATCCCCACGAGAACGGATGACCATTGTTGATGCAACTAAGGCACTACATTTAGTTAAGGACATGCTGCTTGGGAGAAGGATTTCAAGCAATGTGCAAATTGTTTCAAAGGGGTAATTCAGGTACTCTCTTTTGGTGTTGTTATGTAGTTTCAAGGAAAAGTCTAAGAATATAGAAAGTTTCAAATACAGAATATACAGATATGACACATATGAGATGTGAATATTTTTTTTTTATCTTACATTGGTGTATACTGTGTTTGGGACTTTATGTGTTCCTAGCACAACCCTCGTTTAAATTTTCCGTTTAAATTATGTTAGTTGCCTAGAAATGAAATACTGAAAATTCCACAGAAGGTGGAGCTCACATGTTGGGCACACCTTTTTGTTTTTTTGTGAAACTTTGTGTTCCATTTTTGTGTAATAAATAAGCTTTTGATTTTCCTTTCTTGTCTGATTAATTAATTAATATATCATTTTGGTTTACCTTTGAGTACTATCACGAATAATTAATCACTCGTCAAACACAAATATTCAAATCAAGCCATTCAAATTGTAGAAATTGTAAAAGCTCTATGAAGTGTCAGAAGTTTCCCCTGAAGTAACCGTCTCTCTTTAGTTTTACCAGAAACACGTTTTCAGATATTCAAATCTCATACCAGTCAGTTGATCAAACACAGCCAAAACAGAACAGACACAAAAATAACAACATATGATCAAAACTTCAGCAGACCCATGTCTCAATCTTACGCCTTCTCTTCCCTCCAAGTTCTTGCCACAGTTGAGAAGGACAAGCAGTTCAATTGCTCTAAAAATGTTCGATTATGGAGACTTGGCCGTGCCAAATTGCCCATCTTTCTCTCCACCATCTCCGCCCCCACAATCTACTCGGTCATCATTTCTTCCAATAGTTCCATCTCCAATCTCTCACTCCATACCACTCATGTCAACCCACAAAAATTGATGTCAAGCTATTCAACCCATGAGTCCCACATTTGGTGAAACAACAGGCTCAACAAGAAGACACAGAAACAGATCATACACTTTTGGTGCTTTCTTTCAATGTCACGGTTAACAAGGATTGAGGTGACACACCAGCTCTAGCTTGGTTTGATAGAATCAAGAGCGGTGAACAAAATCGAGGTGAAATTCCATTGGCTCAAAACCTGTCAAACTTGATCAGACTCGTGATTCTATACTAGTATGGAGGTGTTCACTTGGACACGGATTTCATAACATTGAAGGACTTTTCTGGGTTGAGGAATTCAATCGGAGCGCAGAGCATTGATGCCACTGGGAGCTGGACTAGATTGAATAATGCAGTGCTTGTTTTTGACAAAAATACTTACTTCATGGAGGAATTTGAATCCAATTTGGATGGGAATAGGTGGGGGCATAATGGACCTTACTTGGTTTCGAGGGTGGTTTGGAGAATGGAAACAGGACGGGATAGTACACATTTAAATTCCACTGTTTTGCCACCCATGGCGTTTTATCCGGCAGACTGGAACTGGGTAGGTTTTTTTTTTTTTTCCTTTTCCCCTGCAAAAACCGATTAATCGGATTCATTCGAAATGGGCTGAAGCCAAGTTGCATCACCTGAGTGGGGAAACTTATGGGGTACACCTGTGGATTAGGCGTAGTAACAGATTGAGAATTGAAGAGGTAAGTGTTGTAGGGAGATTGATCGAGGATAATTGTGTCATTTGCAAGCAATTTCTAGAGAGCAGTTTAAGAATTTGCTTCTCGCTCCCACCATATATTATATAGATTTTTTTTTAGATTGGGTATATTAACATAATAAAGGATCCAAAACTCTTTTCCAACATGGATGATGTGTTTGGTTCAAGGTTTTGAATATAAATTTTGAAAGGAAAATGAAAAGGTACGTGAAATTAGGTAAAATGTAGTTATATTTCATTTATATTTTACATATCTTTTTCATTTCTCATTCCAAATTCCTACCCAAATCAATGAATCAAACATAACATAAAAAAATAATAATAATAATAAAATAACATAAAGATAGGTACGTATTTTCCAAACTGAAAATTTTGAATTCATATTATCTTTTAAAATTGCACTATAAACTTTTATCACACACGTCTCTCCATATAATAATGATTGAAATTTATTTTAATTGTTATCTCAAAAATTAGTTATAGAGTCAAAGAAAATGTGTGGGTCTTAAAATTTTAAAGTAAAAATTTTATGTTACAATTTGTTTAAATGTAATTCTCTAGATTTTTTTTATTGATTGATAAAAAGTGCCACAAACATTAAGATTATTTATTTATTTTTATGATATTGAGTTATTGAAATATGATGAATTACAACTTAAACCAAGAATTGTTGGAAAAAAATTTTTTTACTCGAACCAGATTTTCTAGATTAATTTTTAATATTTAATCCAATATTGGAACCTTCAAACTAACTCATATCGGTTACGAATAGATAAGGATAATATTTAATGATTAAGTGAAGGTCACATTAGCATAATTTTTTAGTCGAGTAGTTTCTAGGTCACTCCTAATGTATAGTCCAACACACACAAGTCAATTCTAATCAATTTTCATAATTTTGAGTAGACAGATTTTCAAGTTTTACAAAATAAGAAAAAAATTAAAATATTAACAAATGTAATTTATTACTATTATATGGTAAATTAAAATTACGAAACTCACAAAACGAAACGTATTTATATTTTATAATAAATATAATTTTTGTAATTTATTCTTTAATTTTTATCAATTAAATTATGACATGCAATTTTTTATTAACAACTTAGAATACACAATTAATGACATCAAAATAAAAATCTTCTCCAATGTGTAACTCTAATAAAAATGAATAAAATTTAATTGATTATAAATAATTTTTACTACATAATTTAAATAAATTTTGTGATGATACAGTCCGTCCCGTGTGGATGGGTCAGGCTAGCCCAGGTTCTTCAGGTTCCGGTTTCGGGTGGTGATTCCGTCAAATGACCTGCAAGCAAGTCCAAAGGGGAACGGGGTAGTCCCCCAGTGAACCCTCCTGCGAGAGAATTAGTCGAGGAAAAAACAGGAAAATGTAGGGGAGAAGATGGAGAGATAAAAAGCTTAACCTTATTCTTGTGCTTCTCTTGTTGCTTATATCCTTTGGTAATCATTTCACTGTCCTTTGTGATGTGCCCCCTTTCCGCCGAAAGCCTGTGCCGTAGCTTACCTTGTTCAGGGTGAGGGGGCTCTGTTCCGACGGGGAGGTGTTGTCGTAATAAATGCTGTGATGGGCTGCATTAATGGTGATGTGTTGTGGCAATAACTCTGCAGATCTTTGTCTGCTGATGTGGCCTGTGTCTCATCTGTCATGTGTTCGAATGCCCTTGGGTGATACAGTCCAGGTGGACTCCAGCTGTCCTGGGCTTTGCCAATTAAGTTATACTACGGGTCCGAGGTAATGGGTTCGGGGCTGTTTGCCGTGGGCTGTATGCCCCGTGGGCCTGTATGCTATGGGTCCGAGGCGATGGGTTCGGGGCGGTTTGCCGTGGGCTGTATGCCTCGTGGGCCTATCCATGTCAGTAGTCCCCCATTTCTGAGTGCAGCTTTAGTCCAACGAAGGGAATAGGAATAAGGAAGAGAAATTCGAACCGAGTGGAGAGGTCAACGGGAAGCCGTGCCGATCGCCAGGGTAATTGAATCGGGAGAAGCTGACCGTGAGGGTGGCCGAGTGGGAGGCGTCGGCCGAGAGGCGTGCCGACCGCGAGGGTGGCCGAGTGAGGGGGGGTCGACCGAGAGGCGTGCCGACCGCGAGGGTGGCTGAGTGAGAGGGGTCGGCCGTAGGGCTTGCCGACCAGGACGGCGCGGGGCTCGAAAAGAGAGGGGGTAGGGTGGGGCCATGTGATGATTTGAAATGGAAAAGACAGGGGAAGGGGGGAACAGTGCATCGTGGCCATACACGTGGTAATATCGTGGGGGAAGTGAAGCGTTGGAGCAGAAATGAAACGATAGGTCACGAGTGGGGTTTTGAAAAGGCGGCTTTGGCGGTTGATTTGAAAGGTTTTGAAACGGGCAAAAATTAATGCGGATCTATGGAATACGGGTAAACTGTGGGTTGTTGGTATAATGCGTTTCAACTACCTGTGTACAAAAACCCAAAATATCCAAGTGTTAATTCCTTCACTGCATACGACATACCTGTGTAGCATTTTCTGAACTTCCTCGCTCCTGCGTCAGAAGTGAGTTGCAAGCAAACCCTAGAAATGGCACAAGAAGAAGGAGTTAATGTGAGGGTGGACCCGTTGGGGGATGATGATGGGGAGGAGTTAGCAGCGCAATACAGGACAGAGGCAAGGATGGTGGGGGCGGGGGTGGGAGAATCGCAGGCGTCGGCCCTGATATTGGCCCCAAAGCCACTAAGCCAGGTGGAGCCAGAGCAGTGGCACACTAAGGCGGACAAATCCACACTTACGGTGGCGGATTTGGAAGTGATTAGGGAGCGGTACCAGATTCCGGCGGAGGTAGAGTTACTGCTGCCAACATCAGGGGAAAGGCCGTCTACTGCGAGGCCAGGGGAGTTTTCCCTGTACAAGGAGGCGCTAAAAAGGGGGCTGAGGTTGCCACTACCTCAAGTGGTGGTTGACGTGCTGAATCACCTGGAGGTAGCACCGGGGCAATTGATGCCCAATGCCTGGAAGATTCTGCTGGCCTGTGCGAGTGTGTGGCCTAAGGCGAATGGGGGGGAGGCCATGACGGTAGACGAGTTCTTTTCGTGTTACAAGGCGTCGGGGCAGCAAGAAACTTGGGTCACCTTACAAGCGGTGATGGGGAGGGGATTGGTAGCGGGGCTGCCCACGTCGATCAAGGGGTGGCGGCCACCGTGGTTCTACGTGACTGTTAATGGGGGGATGGGGGTGCGCACCATCTGGAAAGTGCCGACTAGGTCGATGGAGTCGAGACTGGGGGCGATGGCGGAAGAGAGGGTGAAGCGGGTGAAGGAGTGGAGAGAGAGAGAAAAGGCCAGATGGGACGAGCTTGTCCAACTGTCTGCACTGTTTGAGGCGAGGCTGGGACCGCAGCCGAAAGGCGGAGACCTCGGCCGAGCGGAATTGGAGGCGAGGAGAAAAGCTCAGGAGATAGAGGATCGGGCCATTCTGGCAAAGGCCGCGAAGTTCAAGGAGGCGCAGAGGGACCGTCCGCCTCAACCGATCGCGCGGGAGAGAATCCGACCGCGCCCAAGGCCGTTGGGTGAAAAAGACTTAAGCAGTTTTGAGCCGCGGCCGCCGCCTGTAGACCCTATAAAGGAAAAGGCTGGAAAGGCGGTGGAAGCTCTAAAAAAGAAGAAGAAGAAGAGGAGTGCGCTAGAGGAAGCAGCAGATGCG